TATATATATGTGTGTGTGTGTTACTATATATATATTATATATATATACTTATATAATACTACGCATATATATATATATATATATATATATATATGTATATATATGCATATCTATATATATATATGTATACATATGCATATCTGTATATATATATATATGTGTGTGTGTGTGTGTGTCTGTATATGTGCGAGTGTGTGTGTGAATTTTTGTATATGTGTATGTATGCATGCTTGGCTTATATATATGTTTTTACATATATATATATATATATATGAAGTATATGTATACGTGTATGAATATATATATTAAGTATATATATATATATAAATGTATATGTGTATGTACCTGTTCTTATTTATTCTGTAGCTGCCTTTGTATTCATATATATACTTATACGATGGTATAAACGTAAAGCATTCTGTATACACTTACTAATGCACATGCGTTTACCTATTTGAATATTCATGCAAAATATACTAACATATATATATATATTTATATACAAACATATGTACTTCACATCTATATATTGAAGCACACAATCACGATCACACCCACATATATATATGTATGTATGTATGGATGTATGTATATACACATGTACATATATATATATATATATATATCACCTTCAGATGAAACTGTTACACGTGGATGCAGAGGAAATACACACGGTCATTCATATGGTCTGCTTTTCTGTCGTTGACATGTTAAATCAATGCTTATAGTGTGATATTTCATTTACATATCTAGTTGTATGTATCGTTCATTGCATTATAGTGCATGGACGTACAATCATTGTGAAGTCTGTTTCTCTAGTCTTCCCACTACAATTATATAGTAGACGTCACGCACTAACACACGATCTTATTTTGCTGTACAGGATGTAAAAGACATCTCCGGCGGTTGCGGAGCGTCGTTTGAGTGTGTTATTGTCAGCTCTCAATTTCAGGGTAAAGCCCCACTCGCCAGACAGAGAGCAGTGAACGCTATCCTTAAAGATGAACTGGCGGAGGTCCACGCTTTCGTACAGGTATTAAGTTGTGCGGAGGTACACAAATACACAAACGGAAAACCGCACACACACACACATATATATATATTTATTTATTTATTTATTTTCATATTTATATATCTATATATATATAATATAAGTATCCATATCCATACACACATATATATATTTATATATATATATAATACTTGAATGCAAATATCCCATCTTTGTTACGAAATATTTTATCATGCTATCACTTGCAAACCAGAATACAAACCCTACATGTTATCTGTGGCGCGTGCAAGGAGTTTACTTCTACATGTGCCGCCCAGATGGTCTGCTTTATACCACATTACAAGATCTATCTTCGCTGATGATGCAGGTTTCTGTTTTAGTTCTCATCTATACATACGGGCACGTACATGCTTACTTTTTTCCCCTTCGATATACCAACCACGATATGATATAACCAGTTCAATTGCCGCTGACTACGTATAAGGGTGTGAATCGAATTCATGCCACATAGGATGCTTCTATCTAGTCCTTTCCTTTCTTAGAAAATAATGTCTTCTGGAGAACGTTGTGCAATTCAACCGCGTAGTGCTTGATCTTTGCGTGCGTAAGTGTACGCAAGTACAAACTACTAGTTAGACTTCCTGACTTACTCCCCGTGTCCTATCTCACCACCACAGCGATGCTACACTCCGGAACAATGGGCGAAGAAACAGGAGAGCGCCTAAGGCGTATAGTGTATTGCGACTTGTTGGTTGGGATATTATAGTGTCCTGTGCAGATGTAAGAAATAATATGCGGATTGCGCCTTCAAATACGCTCACAATAATGTCAGCGCGGCTGCCACACGGCTGCCGTTCATTTATCCTCTCTTCTCCGCAATAGGGATGAATGTGTAGAATTAGTATCAAAAGTATTTCACTACAAGGTTTCATATCACGGTACTTAGAACAGTTAATTACAATCCGATACGGGCAACGGGGTGCGGGAGTGTTCCGGCTTGGACATAGCACTAGGTGGACCAAATAGGTGTGTCAAGCCAAGATGCTGAATAAGTGGACAATTATGTGTATAGAACAGGAAGGGCCGGTGACATAGTACATACGAGGTTACGATGGCAAGGTGTACGGAATAACTTTGCTATGAGTATGTACGGGTTATGCACGAGTTATTGTGTCAGAGATAGAGACATGGTATAAAAAAAGTATTCTGGAATACGTCGCGTCCCATACGTACCACACTTAGTTCGAGAGACTCGATCTTTGGCTGGACGGAGTGACAAGAATGTAATTAAAAACAGGCCCTCAAAGACTCATGGTTTGTTGATATTAATTAAAAGACTGAGCCACCGACCCTTGTTGCTGCAATTTTAATCGAAAAGATTGTAAGTTGGTTAGCACAGAAGCACCACGAGCGTACACATTTTGGAACGTTATACCATATAGTTGGACTCGTCGAATCCAATGCACATTGACCGTTTATGACTGAAAATCGTCTACATACATGGCCCTTTGGATAGTCTGCTAAATTTATGTATTTACGATTTCCAGACGTCTGGCCGTAGAGAGAAACAATTCCCGCCCTATACTATACACGGAATTTGGAAATGAGAAGCTGCGACTTGAATCATAGCCTTCTAAATCAAACATTCAATTTTGAATTTTGGAGGCTATGTGAGTGTATTTTTAGAAACAAACAAAAACAAACACTACATATGGTGATTTTTTTTTTAAAGTGATCTATGAAACGGGTTGTATTTTATCTCTTCTCATTTCAGAGTCTCTCTCCATGTACGTGTTGTCGACTCTTCTTAGCTTAGCAAACTAGTTTCCGAAGGCGAATTCCGAGTTCCCGAGAGTCATCTTACTAATTAGGGCAGAGCCGGTAAAGTAAAAGCCGGCAGGGCAGTATCATGACGTCTATCGAGTATTCGCGTATTGTATCCGTGTATGTATTTCCATTTGTCAAAGTAAATACATAAATATGTATTTTTTAAAAATAAAAAAACAAATCGTCTGGACACATGTGTCGGGATATATTTAAAAATATATATATATAGCAATCTACTACATAGAGAGAGTTGCCGGACGGGCTGGCTGTTGGACTTGGGTCTTGGTTGGTGTCTAAAGAAATACTGCCTCTTCTCTCCAGAGCCGAGCCCACTGCCCACTGCCCACTGCCCACTGTCAAGGGCCCAGGCCTATGTATTTACTCCTAGAGTAGAGAGAGTCCGGCTCCCCAGTATCCCAGTTCCAGACTGGAGACACTTCATCAGAGGTTCAGTCGTTCAGACAACAGAAGTTCAGAGTTTATTCTACTTGTTTTTTAAAAAACACAAAAACTTCTCCTCCCGAATCACATATATATTTATTTAGTTATTTACCACCACAAGAAGAGAGCGAGAGAGTTTTTAACAACACAAAAACTTCTCCTCCCGAATCACATATATATTTATTTAGTTATTTACCACCACAAGAAGAGAGAGAGAGAGTTTTTAAAAACACAAAAACTTATCCACCCGAATCACATATATATTTATTTAGTTATTTACCACCACAAGAAGAGAGCGAGAGAGTTTTTAACAACAGAAAAACTTATCCACCCGAGAGAGAGAGATAGAGAGAGAGAGGAGGGTTACGTTTGGGTTCTTTGTTCTGCACTACCATTAGTTT